TGGAAGGATGCCCGCCCGCGGGTTTAACTCTCCTGGCTTTGGAAGGATGCCCGCCCGCGGGTTTAACTCTCCTGGCTCCTCCGGTGCTTACCCGTGTGCACCAGCATTCTTTGCCCCTACATCATATGTAGTATAAGTAGATCTATAATATAATTTTTCATATTTGATTTTTAAGCTATCATACAAAATAATTATGACATTTTTATGTATAGATGATGTAGATAATCTCCCACTGGTTCCTTTCCTCTCACAAAATAGTTCCTCTTCAGCTTTCATGTAATAGATGTCATATAGAAATTGATAGCTAGGTAGGCAGGTAGATGACAGATAGATAGATGGATGGATGGATAGATAGATAGATAGATAGATAGATCTTAATATGAAAGAAACATTCAATGTTTGTCTTTTGGGTGTGGCTTATCTGGAATATCAATAATGTTTTAAGCAAATTATGAAATTCTCCACCCAGCTCCACGGGCTTCATACTGGATGGCTTCCCGCGGTACCCTGAAGAGGCCCAGTTTCTGGGAGAGCGAGGATTTTTCCCAGACGCCGCCGTTATACTACAAGTCGATGACCAAGACATCTTTGATCGCCTCCTTCCCGCCCAAGTTCAGAAGTGGAAGACGAAACAGCTCAAGAAATTAGAGAGGAAAAAACTCATCAAAGACTTGAAGACAAAAATCAAGGTACACGGGAAGACGACTTAGGTTTCTAAGTAGTGTTCACAAAAAATGAGGTTTAGAATTTTAATGCTGCGGTGAGCATAAAGACATTTTTCATCAAATCTTTCATTCTTTAATAGGAGTTAAAAACTATTTGAAGCTTTTTTTGTTTTTGTTTTTGTTTTTTTGATACAGAGTCTCTCTATGTAGACCTGTCTTGTCTTGGAACGCTGTAGACTAGGCTACCCTTGAACTCGGATAGCCAACAGTCTCTGCCTCCCGAAGGCAGGACTTCTTTGTAGCTTTTTTCCGGTCACCAACATGTTAATGCTTCTCTTTCTAAATTAGTGGTATTCAGGCTTCCCAGGAGGCCACTATCAGGCACAGGAGCAGTGATGGGCTCAGTGGAGGCAGCGGTGCTCTGAGAGAGCAGAGGATTGGCCGCGGTGTGAAAGCTCCCACCCACCACTAACTCCTGATCGAGTGGGGGGGGTCTGCATGTTCGTAGCAGTGATCTCGCGATGACCCCGGTGCTCTCTCCTGGACTGGCCGCTGAACTCTCCCATGCATCCTTCCAACTACTCACAGACCAGCCTTCTAAATGTCTGCCTGAATCAAGTCTCACTGTGGGAGTTGGAACTCCCAGTGTTGTCCGATCCCATTTCCTAACGGTGTTTTTAGCTCCAGTAGATGTAATAAGCCGCACCAGGTGCTTCTGGGTTTCCTTATCAGGGAGTCCTGCCCTGGGTGCTGTTGTGCGGTTCTCTCTGGATCCCCACTGTCACACCCTTAAAGTAGAGGCATTGCCTGACTTGATACTGTGTTTTGAGAAGAAAGTGAAAGAATATGTATCATAGTGCCCAAAGCAGCGACAGCCCCTGGCAGGCAACAGTGTAGTTAGTTAAACTTTGGGGAGTCCTGAGCCAAGCAACACCAAAACCCTGAGGACATTTGAATAGATCCACTATGTCAGACCGGGAAAAGAGCAGGCCATGGTCCTTCACCCTCCCTGTGCATATACCCTCCAGGATGTCTGTGCTCTCCACAGAGGTACAGCTGTGATCTCAAAGACGTGTCTCCACAGTGAGAAAAAGAGATTTCCAAACACTTTCAACAATTAAGAGGAAGATAGCCCAGAAGGACAAAGGTGTACCGGGTCAAACACTGTCACCTGTTTTCCTGACAAGGTCCCTACCCTTCCACCATACCTTAGCCCCAGCTTGAAAAGGTATATTAACACATAGCAAGTATTTTATCATATGTGCCCATCGTAAACCTGTAAATGTTTCCTCAACAGGAGGACATGGTTGCTAAAAGAAGAGCTGAACTTATTTTGGAGAGAGAGAAAAAAAGGAGAGGAGACGTAAGTAGATTGAGTGTGTGTGTGTGTGTGTGTGTGTGCAGAACACCCTGATCTCAACGGTGGAAGAAGGAGATGGCCATGTTTCAAAAGAACTCACATTGAGTTTACAGGGGATTAGTGAAATTTATTTCTTTTATTTTTGGTATGGTGTATGCTACTATTTTAAATGACCTTTTATTTATATTTATAATCAGAAAAGAATAAACAACATTTGGATTTTGTTTTGTTTTGAGAAAGGATCTCTCCATGTCACTCTGGCTGTCTTGGAGCTTGCCACATAGACCAGACTAGGCTTGAACTCAGAGATCCCCTGCCCCTGCCCCCTGTCTTTCTGTCGGTCTCTCTCTCTCTCTCTGCTTCTCTGTGCCTCTCTCTCCCTCTCTATGCATCTCTCTGTGCCTCTCTGCCTCCGTTTCTCTGCCTCTCTGCCTCTCTCCCTATGTCTCTGTCTCTTTGTCTCTCTCTGTGTCTCTACCTCTGCCTCTCTGTCCCTCTCTCTGCCCCTCTCTGACTCTCTGCCTCTCTGTTTCTCTGCCTCTCTGACCCTCTCTCTATGTCTCTGTCTCTTTGCCTTTGTCTCTCTGCCTCCTTCACCCACCCCTCCCCTCTACCTCTGTCTCTCTGCCTCTGTCTCTGCCTCAGCTGAGTTTTGGGATTAAAAGCATGAACAAAGAGAAACCTCTAAAGGTGCTGAAGTCCTCATATGAAATGCACAGTGCACTGGACTGTGTTTCTTCGGGATCTTCATCCTTGAATTTTCACCTTGTTTCACGCCTCCAGCTGCCTCCACAGGGACAGGCTGAAAGCTTAGGAGTGAAGACAGATGGAGCCTGTGAAGTCGACCTGAGACTAATCTCTGGATAGTATCAGGGTGTGAAAGGAGGTGGAGGAGAGAGCCAGTGGATACTGGGTGTGGTGTCTAGCCACCCTGGAAGACTTAGGGTTTTGTTTTATTTGGGGAACAATTGTCCCTACATCAAACTAGTTGATCTGCGGTTATTGCCTGACTGCTCAAGGATACAGAAGTGACAGGAGATAAAAGGAGACAGGTGTTGTGCTTTAAATGTGAAGTGTTGTCCCCTCCTGCCCCCACCCCTGCCTAGGCTTGTGTTTTAAGTGTGAAGTGCTGTCCCCTCCCAATCCCACTCCTGCCCAGGCTTCAGTGTTTGTCTTGGTTTTGGAAAGTTGTAGAACCTCTACCCGCTTACTGTGGGAAACGGGTTGATGTTAGGCCTTGAGGTTAGAGTCCAGCCTCACTTCCTGTCTACTCTTCCTGTTCTTCCAAGATGTGAGGAAGTTAGGAGTCCCAGCTGCACAAGTCTGTCACCAGGCTTTCCCCTATGTGATGGATCTAACTCTCAAAGAGCAGGCAGCCTCCGCTTCAGGACTGGTCTCTACAGGCTTGCCTGCCTGCATGCTTGTCTTCCCTCTGTCCTTTCTCCCTCCTTCCTTCCTCTCTCCTTCCCTCTCTCCCTTCTTCTCTCCCTCCCTTTCCCCTCTGTCCCTTCTTCCCTTCCTCCCTCTCTTCCTCCTCCTCTCTTCCTCCCTCACTTCCTCCTTCTCTCCCTTCTTCCCTTCCTCCCTCTCTTCCTTCCACCTTCCTTTTCTCCATTAGCAAGCATTTTCCCCCTTGCATTAAACATTAACTGGCTTTCATGCCTGATCTTACTTTAAGAGTTTACATAACCCTTCACCAGAGCTAATTTCATCAGCAAACATGTTGTAGCATGAACTCTGTCCAAACTGTCAGGCTAACGTTTACACTCAAAATGACACTGTAACCTGGACTCAACAACAGTTAACTTCCAAAAGCCCATGGGAATCGCTAGTGTTGCCTGCATACGCACTTTGCATTTTTCAGCAAAGAATTGCCAAAAGGAGTCCAGACTTTTGGATATAGCAGACCAAAACTGGTAAGTTCCCTCCAGTTCTTACTGGTTATATCCTGTTTTACTGCTATCTCTCCAGTGTGATAAAACTGAGACCAAAGACTCCTAATTGAGATGTAACACCCAACCATTTATTTAGTCTCTTTCAAGCTTAGAGTTTTCGCTGGAAGTGGGGGAAGTTATTCATTTTTAATTTCTCTAGTTGCTAATACTTTTATTTCCCTTCTTTGTTATTCTTTAGGTAAATCAGGGCCTTGACTATGTAGAAAGAGCTTGTTTTTTAAAAGTGGAAGTTAATCTTTAGAATAAATGATCCCAATTTATTATTTTTGTACTTGTTAGTACTGGAATAATATGATTTATTTCTTAAAAAATTCGGAGATGTAGTGTTCTACTTTGTAGAAAATAGTGTTATAAATTTTCCACTAAAACTTGTTCTTCATAAAATTGATTATCTCACTAAAATAATTCATACACCAAACTATAAGACTAAACTCCTAGAATCAATTTTATTATTGTGTGTGTGAGAGGGAGGGACCTGCATGCCGTAGTGTGTATGTTGAGGTCGGAGGACTATTTAGGACTTCAGGGGATTGGTTCTCTCATTCCACCGTGTGGATCCTGGGACAGAGCTCAGGCTGTCCAACTACAGACGCGTCTTCCCACTTAGCCCTTGACACTTATTGAAAGTTCATTCTGAGTATTGAATTTTTTCCTAGCAGCTTTATGGAAACATGGGCGGAGGGAACGCCACTGGCCTCGCCTCGCATAGTACCTGTGGCAGATGTGGGTCATTTATCACCATTGCGGAATGAATTTTAATTTTTAATCTTCTGTTTGATTTAAACATCGCTTTGGTTTGATGATGACACCAGCGGTCAGAAAGGACTCTGGAGAGATGCCTTGCTTCTTCTGTGTTTCTAGAAGCTCCAGAGCAGCCAGCCTTGCTTTGTCACACATTCCCTGGGCTGTTCTGTGTGAGCAGAGCACTCCACACACTTGATACTCCACACACTTCAGATCCTGGGCCAGCTTCTCAGTGGGCTCCAGAGTGAGAGGCTTTGGTTGGCTCTTGGTAAGCTTGTCAACAGTAGAGGGACGCCTCTGAGATCAGTTGGGTCCTGACACAGCAGAAAGGAGTCTTCAGGCAGTGGTGAGCGCCCCCCGATCCTTCACATTTTCAAATAAGGATGGAGAGGCCTCTGGAAAAGGTGTGTGTGTGTAGATAACCATTGCCCACAACTCACGTAACTGTCTGCATTGCAGAAATAGTTTTATATTCGCTTTAAATTCTTTACATTAGGTGTTGACCCCAGCTTCCCCCACTTGGGGATGAGGGAAGGGAGGGGGAATGGCAGCATACCTGATCTACCCTCCTAAAACCAACTCCGGAACACATGCAGACAAAGACTTTTTAGCAGCAAAGAAAACCTTAGTAACCCACAGACTGGCTTCAGCAGCCCAGTGACTGTCTCCATAGGTTCTACGGGAAACGTCGCCATCTTGTGGCAACTCTGTCTCAGAACGTGATTAAAGAGATTTCTCTAAACTAGATACCAGCTCTTTCTAGAATCTCTGTTCTCCTGCCCACTGGCTCTGCCTCTGGGCCTTCTCTGGCATGTGGGTCTCTTCTATTGAGAGCCACAGGAAGGAGCGACCCTGGACGAGCAAGGAGAGCAAATCAACAAAATCGCTAGTTGCCCTGGGTGAGTCAGAAGTACAGACACTGTACTGAGGGAAACACAAAAGAGTGAAACAGGGTCCAGGGCAAGACCATATCGGTGTCTTCTCAGGTCAGCAGAGGTCAGAGTGTGTGGGCTCAGAGGTTGACCCACAGGTGAAATTTTGGAATAAATCAGAGATGGAGGCTCAAGACATTGAAACTAAATAGTCCAAAATAGTGTCTCCAAATGTAGCTGTGGAAGGCAATCGAACCCCCACAGAGCATATGGGACCTGAGCAATCAGAACAGTGTTCCTGTGCATCAGAAGGCCCTCAGGGTCAGGCCAGCCTCTCACTTCTTCCTTGCTCATTTTCTCTCTAATCCACAAGCACTGGGACCATAGTCTCGGTCACCATCCTGCCCAGGCATGGCCACTCCCCCAGCCTCTTCCACTGACAGGATCCTGAGACAGAGCACACTGGTAACCTAGTACTGTCCCGTGAGACAACAGATTTTATGTGCTTTGTGTATGCATGCTGGTTTAGGCTTCCTATCAACCCTTCGGGACCTTCTTTGGATTATTTGAGTATATTTGAACTTTTCTTTTTTAGATGAGATCATTGTATGTTCACCCATCTGTAGACCAGGCTGACCTTGAACTCACAGAGATCTGCCTACCTCTGCCTTCCAAGTTCTGGGATTAAAGGCATAGACTACCACACTCAGTCTGGGATCTCTTAAGATTTCCTATGACTTTAGGGTTATACCTTTCACTTCATTTTCAGTGATTACAAAACAATGTGTGTGTGTGTGTGTGTGTGTGTGTGTGTGTGTGTCCCTTTTTCCTACATTCTTCTTGGAGTCAGTATTATTTTTTGTAACAGTATGGGTTTATTTTCTTCCACCCTAACACATCACTATCCTTTATGCTCCACCACATGCCTAGCAACATTAGAAACTACTTGAGAAAAAAGGCTGTCTTATTTGAATATTCATGTTTTTGAGTAATGGGAAATTACTCTCTTTTAAATTTCTCTGGGTATTTTCTATTTCTTCAGTTCCTTTTGTCTTCCTCTGAGATTACAAAAAGTGGCAAGATGAGAACATAACTTTTTGAAGCATTGTTTTCCTCTGGCTAGTCTCAGCTGTGCCTGACGTCTGGCTGCACCTGCTCTCAGCTGCACCTGCTCTCAGCTGCACCTGCTCTCTCTCAGCTGCACCTGCTCTCTCTCAGCTTCACCTGCTCTCTCTCAGTTGCACCTGCTCTCTCTCAGCTTCACCTGCTCTCTCTCAGTTGCACCTGCTCTCAGCTGCACCTGCTCTCAGTTGTACCTGCTCTCAGCT